TTAATTAAAAATAACAGTAACAACAGAGATACAATTTTCATGTTTGATACATTACTTAGTCTCAGCTGCTCATCTTGGACCTGTTCTTGTATATAAACCTCTTATCTGCAGTACTAACACTGTACCATATTTTTTTTAAGAAACATAAGCAAGTTTCCTCTAATTTTAATATTGTGACCTTTGTTTTATTGTTTGTTTTTTGTTTCTTTGCATTTGCTGTAGTAGTTTCTTATCAAGTCAATTATTCAGCTGTCAGGGGTGAGGGAGAGCGTCAAGGGCCATGGGCAGTCTCAATGTGAAAACTCTGCTTCTGTACGCTTTTCATGGAAACCCCCCTCGGAGCTGAGAGGATGCCCAGTCCCACTGGGAAGTGGCCCCCAGAACTCAGTTTTGCTCGTAGTTTGGCTGATCTGATTTTTGTGGGACTACAGAAGGATGACTTGTAGAAATCCCAGAGAATTCTCCCATACACAAATTATAGCTGATCGGAATATTAATTTGTCCAACTATGTATGATTCAAGAAATTACACCAAGAATGAACTATGTCCCAAAATCTCTATGAGGAAAAGATTCTATGGACAGAGTCCAATAACTAGACCAAAAGCCAAAAGAGTTCTGCTAAATCTTTACTTAATTTCTTGATGCCCTCTTGAGCTGAAGCCTCAGAAGGCCACAGGCCAACTGTGACCAGCTTCACAGAAAAAGGACTAGTCATTCCTTGTACCAGTCCCTGCAATCCCCTAGTATCACCTGTTTTTTAAAAAGCCTAATGGTCGGGGCGCCTGGGTGGCTCAGTCGTTAAGCATCTGCCTTCAGCTCAGGTCATGATCTCAGGGTCCTGGGATCGAGCCCCGCATCAGGCTCCCCGCTCCGTAGGAAGCCTGCTTCTCCTTCTCCCCCTCCCCCTGCTTGTGTTTCCTCTCTCGCTGTGTCTCTCTCTGTCAAATAAATAAATAAAATCTTTAAAAAAAAAAAAAAGCCTAATGGTCAAGGATATGGCTTCATCCAAGATCTGTGAACAAGTAACAAAACAATTATACCCCATTTTGCTGTACTGCCCAATCATATGCCACCCACCCTCTCTTTGTGCCTTCTGAAGCCAAATTCTTTTTTTTTTTTTTAAGATTTTATTTATTTATTTGCCAGAGAGAGAGAGAGAGCAAGTGAGCACAAGCAGGGGGAGCGGCAGGCAGAGGGAGAAGCAGGCTTCCTGCTGAGTAAGGAGCCCGATGTGGGACTCGATACCAGAACCCTGAGATCATGACCTGAGCTGAAGCCAGACGTTTAACAAACTGAGCCACACAGGCATCCTTTTTTTTTTTTAGATGAAGCCAAATTCTTTACAGTAACAGATTAATGCTCAGGTTTCTTTAGTGTCCCATTCTATAAAGTTGGCCAATTTACTTGCCTTCACCTAGAAAAACCAACAATTCACCTAGAAAGTTATATCCCCAGGGATTCACTGAAGTTCCACACTTCTCTCAAATCTTAATCCCAGATCTTAAGGATACTTGGGTGAAGTCTTGGTTGGGGATCCCTCTGATCCAACATGTACATTAACTGCCTCTTATGTTCCATTAATCTGGAAAACTCCAAGGTTGACTATAATTATTTCCTCACTGAGCAAGATGAAAAGGGACATGAGCATCTAAGGAAACACTCCAATTCCACAAAACAGCATTTCTTTATCTAGGCCATACTCCGTCAACTGAAGGAAAGCTATTATCTAAGGAAAGATTACAAAATATCCAAAATTATCCAAGACTAATCACTAAAAGACAATTAAGAAAATTTCTATGACTAACTAGATATTGTAGATAATATATACCAAATTCTCCTGAATTAGCAAGACATCTGTGTGACTTAACTAAATCAAGTATGTCAGAACCATGCCCATGGAACACAGAAACAAAAAATGCCTTCAATGATCCTGAAATTTCTTTCAACAATTACCTCTCATATCCCAGAGTATCATAAATCTGTCTATGTACATGAAAGGTTAAGGTCATGATCTAGGGCAGTGGTTCTCAAAGTGGCAGAGAAAGGTGATTTTGCTCCTAGGAGATACTCGGCAATATCTGGAGACATTTTTGATTGTCACACTTCGGGGGCTACTACAGGCCTCTCTAATGGGTAGAGTCTAAGCGTGCTGCTAACCTCCTACAACACAAAGGAAGGCTCCCACAACAGAAAATTCTAGTGCTGAGATTGAAAAGTGATGCTCTAGGAATGTTACCTCAACAACAAGGCATGCATCAAAGACCCACCTCCTCTCAGAGCCTGTCCCTTGACCCAGGAGGCAAGGCTTACTGCCTACTTATCTCAGAGCAACTGCCACTCAGCCAAATCCAACAGTCTTCAGGCCTGAACTAGGATCACCTTTTAGCCTTATGGCATCACACGCAGTATCATCCCAAACACTAACTAGAAATACCAGCACTTTTCTTCTAGTCAGTTAACTAATCATGAAACAGTGCTCCTTCCTCCTTTTCATAAGTTAGTATGTCAACGGAACACCCTCAACCCAGCCCCTTATTACACTTGTCTGATGACAGAGAGCCTCCTAGTTATCTCTGTAGTTCAAGAAGTGTCCATGCCAGAAGAGAATTTAGGAAGGACACTCCTGCCCAGAGCCTGCCTTAGTGCTGCTTGTTGCTCGGTCTTACCTCACTAGGGAAAAGGAGCAATTCTGGGCTGCTTATGAAGTCACCTGGGTCATGGTTTCAGAGTGTCTTTCTTCTTCTAGTGCATCCAGTTACACAGCTCCATTATCTGTTGCCTGAGTCTTAAATGCTTCTGTTTGGCTACTGTCCTGACAGTAAATTCAATAAATGATTCAGACACAGAACCAGGACAAAATGATGGTGATCAGTACTCAAACTGGAGATCAGCTCTCTACAAGCCAACCTCGCCTTTAAGGACATCCAACAACAGTGGTGAGGATCTAGGCAGTCCCTGATGATCTCTCCTAGAGCTCAACCACCTCCAACAACACCAAAGATACATACCCACACACACACACAGAAAAAGATGGACTGTCCTGAAGACACAGGAAAAAGTAGCCATCAGAGTGTAAAATGGCACAGTTGCTGGGGAAAATGGTCTGGCAGTTTCTTAGAAAGTGAAGCACAGAACTATCCTATGACCCGGCAATTCCACTCCTAGGTGTATGCCCAAGAGAACCAAAAACATGCGTTCACACAGAAACTTCTACATGAATGTTCACAGCAGCAAGACCTGTAATAGCCAAAGAGTGGAAACCACCCAAGTGCTATCACGGACTCTTCCCTGCAGACTCGGACTAGCAGACAGAAGACCACACACAGGTCAAGGGACAGAACTGGCACCTTCCCCTTCCACAGGCACAACCACTCAAGCCTAGGGTTAGCACAGACCTCAGTCACCACGTGGGGTCTGAGACACTCCTCAGAAGATGAAACCGAGGGTCACGGACACAAGAACACAGGGCTGGTCAGAGACAGAAGCTGAACTGGCCACTGGGCCTCAACTCCCAGCCCATCTCTTTCCCACATTGCTTGCCTGCGGTAGTGCGAGTATGTGGGAGGACAGGGACAAGTAGAAGAATGGAGAAGTGATGGTCACCGACACAAGGGTGCTCTGCTATCAAGTCTCAGGAGCTCTTACATTCATGACATGGGTGAGTTTACTGTATGTAAATTTTAATTTTTTGTAAGTTTTTATTTCAATTCCAGGTAGCTAACATACAGTGTAATATTAGTTTCAGGTGTGCAATGTAGTGATTGGACTTCCATACATCACCCGGTGCTCATCAGGACAAGTGCACTCCTCACTCCCCACCCCCTATTTCCTCTATCCCCCGGCTCACCTCCCCCTCTGGTGACCACCAGTGTAGTGTGTTGTCTAGAGTTAAGAGTCTGTTCCTTGGTTTCTCTCTCTCTCTCTCTTTTTCCCCTTTTCTTGTTTGTTTTGTTTCTTAAATTCCACATTTGAGTGAGATCATACAGTATTTTCCTTCTCTGACTTATCTCACTTTGCATGCCTTCTGTTTAAAAAAAGACCTTAAAACAATTTAAAAAGTGGAGCAATGCAAGCCCCCTCCACCTGAAGGCGCCCTGTCGGAAGCGTGCCATGCGATCCTGGAAAAGGGCCAGGCTAAACCAGGACTGGCCCAGACACTGTCACAGTCTCAATATCCACCTCAAAGAAGTACCACCAATTTTTAAGGGATTATGAAGAAAATGTCTACACAGGTTCTACCTTATTAGGATTTCAGTAAATGAAGGATAATGCCATGAGGAAAAATAAGATTTCCTCTCTCTTTAATAGCAGAGAATTACCCTAAGAGTGGCATAGGACAGAGCAGAAAGGAAAGAGCAATGGGAAAGAGCAAATATATAAAGAGTAAATCTAACAGTCATGGCAATAGATCTAACTATTTCACTGACATCAGAACAATAATACTAGTAACTACCACCTCCCACTATACTAAGATAGGATTTATTAATTATCTAGTTACTTGGCCTTATTCCTTACAGCAGTTTTGCCATAGAATTCTATCCTAGAAAAACTGTAATCTTTGGGAGACAATTTAGGGTTTTGGAATTATTTAATTATTGTACCAAAACAATAGCAAGAGCTTCGCTTACGCTTAAGGCTTCTACTTCAGCTAGATGTTCGTAAAATGATTCCTAATAACAAGCAGCTAAACTTAGTTTTGTTTTGACTTCCTTCCACGCACAGAACTGAACAGAACATGCAAAACCATCCTGTTTCCTAGATCAGTCTTCTTACTGACCGACGCTTACCAGATTCGCGGGGGGGGGGGGGGGGGGGGGGCAGTGCCCCACAACACCCACACCTGGTACCTATCCCAGGCCCACCAGATCAGGTTCTCTAGGGTAAGAACCACAGGACATTGAAAAAGTTCCAGGAGACGTTGCTGCATACACACCCCTGGCTGTAATCACCACTCCAGAGACATGGCTAACAGTCACTGCATCTCAAAAGAATGACTTACTTGTTACGATCCCAGCCAAAGCAAACACAAACTGATTTTCATTGGAATCAAGCTCCTTGACATCCCCATCCAGTGACTTCACAAAACTCTCCATTGTTTGACCAGTGATGTTGAAAAACTTCAAAGCTTTATCCTGAAAGTTTGGAAAGGAAAGTATCACAGCCCTGCACAAACACTGGTACAAAACATTACAAGAGTACAAAGGCATAAAAGGAAGACTCTGTGTTAATGACAGAAGCAGTATTCAAAAGTCTGCTCCTTCATTCCAAGTTCCCATATGGAAAAGAACAGAAAAAGGAAATCTGGAATCTGTAGAAAAACTACCCTGCAGACTGATGGAAGGAGCAAAATAAAATATATGTGAGGGAACAGCATGAGTTTACAGTGGTGGCAGTATGAGGATGGGTTCATCCAAAATCCACTAGGAATATGCTAGAAAAATACGTTCTCTGTTGGTTCCAGGCATGAAGCCACAGGTTTCAACCATTGGAGAATGGAGTTTCAAACAAAATCTTAACAGAAACCTCAACATGTCAAGAGACAAAGGCAGTGAGCAGGCTTGCTGGGCACTTTAAATCTTCATTACTCAGCAGAAGTCCCTCCAAGCACACAGAACTTTTGAAACGCTTCCCGGGGTGCTAGGGTTCTAAGGGATAGCTTCAAAGCCGACACATACATACCAACGGCACAAGGCAACTTCACGGGCTGATAGAATGTTCTGAGCCTGGGTTGTGGGGATGGTTACACAACTCTGGAAATGAGCTAAAACCACTAAAATTGTACACTCACAAATGGGTAAATTTTATGTGTAAATTACACGTAAATAAAGCTCAATAAATGTTAAAATACAATTAATCTCCACTAAAGTCACACACAATTTTTGTTTCTCCAAGTCATAAGTAATGGATTGCTGGCCTCCTGTCGAACCTCCCCCGTATCTGTACTCCCATTCACAAGCACACCCTCCTCCTAGAGTGCAGCCACAGGCCCCTGGCACCACACCTGCCTTCCCTGCCCCTCACAGCAGGGCGCTGCCTGAGCCCTGAGCCACCAGAAGGGCCTGCCAGTTAGTCTTCCTGTCTCGTTCCCACACCCACCCTGCTCCTATCCACCCTCATTCACAGTCAGGACAATCTTCCTGAAGTCTCTCGCCCCACCATTCTTTTACTCAAAACCCTCAGGAATCCAGTCTTACCACCCTACTGGGTAAAATCAGCAACCTGGCTTCTGAGGCCTCCCAAAATCACATTGCATCCTACTTCCGCAGGGTTATCTCCCCATGACTTTACCGCACTGACCCTCTACTCTGTGTCCACTGACCCATGCGTGGCCCCCAACACTAACTTCAGGCTTCTCAGCCCATGCCTCTGATGATGCCATTCCTCTCCCCTCCCCATTGTCTGCCCTTGCCACCTACTCGAGTTCATCAAAGGCCATGTCAAACCTCTCTTCCTCTGGGAAGTTTTCTGAGTGTGTGGGAGTGTGTGTGCGTACTACTAAAGTACACAAATACATAAATAACATGCAACTTTCAACAAATCAAATATTGCGTTACTCATGGGATAACCTACAGAGAAGCACTTAAACTCTGTTAAATGTGTGTAGATGTCAAGGAACTGAAGTGGTACCACCCCACAAACACCACACAGACTCATTCCGCACCCCTAGAGCACCGGCTTACACCAGGCCCTACACACTGCTGGGCCCGGCGCTACTGGATGAATGAACACAAGATGTGGACTTCATCTGTAAGCTCCTTAGTACACACTGTACCCTCTGGGTTCCATCAACACTGATGGACAATACCCAGGGAGCCCAGTGGTCATGCTTACTCCTCCCAGAATGGCTTTGACGACGTCCTCACTGCTGGAGACGCCCCACAAAAGGGTGCAGGCCGCTGCTCCCATTTCCGTACAGTATTCTGCCTGCTGCAGGAGTTGCTGCTTTGCTTCATTCAGCTGCTGTCGAAGAGCGAGTTTCTCCTAAAATCAAAACAGAATAAAATCGGCAAAATGAATAGCATTCAACCTTGAAATACCTCTACTGTGTTTCTCATTCAAAGATTTAAAAAAAAAAAAAAAAGCACAAAGAATTACAGAAAACAGTTGGCAAATGAAAACCGGTCCTTAGACAGCCATAATCTCTAACTTTTAAAACTTCAGAGGAAAAATAACACTCTCAAAAAAGAACATGCTGCTGTATTAGAGCACAAGTATTGCCAAAGATTTGAATTCATCTTGAATTCAAAATGAAGGCACCTCAGGTCCCAAGTGGCTATTCCCAGAATCAACACTGATGGGGACACCTAAACAAAGTAACAGAGCACCATTTCTAGTAGAAGAGCCTGACCCCCGCCCCCCCCCCCCCCCCCGCCCCAGATAGCTCCCTCCACTGGAAAGACACCAGATGACACAGCTAAGCCCGGCTAGGACAGATGGGGCAGAGACAGAGAGAAGTGAGAAGGAGGGCCTCCCAGGCATGCCGCACATGGCGAGCTGAGTGCCAGTGTGACAGAAAGACGGAGGTCAGTGGGGATTCTGAAGAATACCGCTGGAAAATCTCAGCCAGGGCTCTTAACAGTGAATTGTCCTCCTGATAGTCCCTTAGACCACACAAACAAGCCTAAAGGCTCGTTTCAGGTGGCTCTTGGGTAGTATGGGGCTTTCTGACCTCCCCCAACCTCCACCACTGGTTGCACTATTGTTGTTACCTAAAGTTCCCTCAAAAGGTGAGAGCATTTCCTTACTTAAAAGAGATAAACTTAAGAAATATAGAAACCTGGTGGCTCAGTCGGTTGAGCATCTGACTCTTGATTTCGGCTCAGTTTGTGATCTCAGGGTGGTCGGATGGAGCCTTGTGTCAGGCTCCATGCTCAGCTGGGGGTCTGCTTCCCTCTCCCTCTGCCCCCTCCCCATTTGCATGCACACGCACTCTCTCTCAAATAAATAAATCTTTTTTAGAAAGTTAAAGTATTCTAGGGGCGCCTGGGTGGCTCAATTGTTAAGCTTCTGCCTTCAGCTCAGGTCATGATCTCAGGGTCCTGGGATCGAGCCCCACATCGGGCTCCCTGGTCCGCGGAAAGCCTGCTTCTCCCTCTCCCACTCCCCCTGCTTGTGTTCCCTCTCTCGCTATGTCTCTGTCAAAATAAAAATAAATTTTTAAAAAATCTTAAAAAAAAAGTTAAAGTATTCTAGATGTTTTAGGTTTTTCTTTTAGAGAGGTGAGTGCAGGACAGTTAGAGGGGGAAGAAAAGGAAGCAATGGGCCACAAATCAAACTTGACCTAGGGTGGCCCATTCACATCTACCGGGGATGATGTATTTGGTATGCAGAGTTCCATACACATTCAGACATATATTCACACTTGTTTTAGGAGAAAAGATGGTCACTGAACCTATGACACATGCTAATACTGCCTTAGGTGATCACAAATTCTGGTTTCATCCTAATAGTAGTCTGGATTCCTAGTTCTGTTCTTCAGGGGTCTGTAGCCAAACCCACTCAAGTCAGGGGGACATGTGCAAACCTACATCAAACACTTCCTTTCCGAACTCTAGCCTTCCTCACAGTTGAAGCAGTCTGTATTCCAATTAGTCTGTTTATGATGGTTCTTTGACAAGATCACACAATAACTGCTGAGAATGACCAGACAGGATGGTCTTCACTGCAATCATATTTGGTGGCTTCAGGCAGATATGCCCTGACAAAGGGAAGCACGTATAGTACAATAATATCAAGAAAAACTCAACAAAAGTAATTCCATTCACAATAATATCAAAAATAAGAAAAAGAAAAAACTTAAGAAAAGTAGTTTAAGCCCTGTATAGTAAAAACTACAAAGCGTTGCTTGGAAAAAGTACAGAAGAGGTCAATCAATGGAAAGACATACCATGTTCATGGACTAGAAGACTAATATAGGTAAGATGATAATCTCCCCAAACTGACCTACAGATTCAATGTCTATCAAATCCCTGTCAAAATTTCAGCAGGCTTGTTTGTACAAACAGATAATCTAATTTTAAAATGCATACGGAAATGCAAAAAAAAAAGTGTGAAAAAGAAAACCAAGGTTGACGAGAACTAACACCGCCTGATTTCAAAAACAAAAAACAAAAACCTATTCTAAAGCTATAGAGGGCGCCTGGGTGGCTCAGTTGGTTAAGCGACTGCCTTCGACTCAGGTCATGATCCTGGAGTCCTGGGATCGAGTCCCGCATCGGGCTCCCTGCTCGGCAGGGAGTCTGCTTCTCCCTCTCCCGCTCCTCCCTCTTGTGCTCTCTCTCTCTCACTCTCTCTCTCAAATAAGTAAATAAAATCTTTAAAAAAAATTAAAAAAAATTTTAAAAAAAAGCTATAGATATCAAACCAGTGTGGTATTAGTATAAGGATAGACATATAGATCAATGAAACATTAACACTTATGGCAATTGATTTTAACAGAAGTGCCAAGGCAATTCAATGGAAAAAGTATAGTCTCTTTAACAAATTGATGCTAAAACAAATAGATAGATATTCATATGCAAAATAATAATAACTCAAAATGAATCACAGACCTAAATGTAAAATCTCTAGGAAAAAATCTCTGTGGCCTTGGGTTAGGCAAATATTTCTTAGATATCATAACAAAATCATAATCCATTAAAAAATAATAAATTGAACTTCATCAACATTTAAAACTTTTACTCCTCAAAAGATACCATCAAGAAAGTACAAAGACAAGTGATAGACTAAAATAAATTATTTCCTTTTTTAAAAAAGATTTTATTTATTTATTTTGAGAGAGAGAGCGCGTGTGAGAGAAGAGAGAGCACAAGCAGAGAGGAGGAGCAGAGACAGAGGGAGAAGCAGGTTCCCCACTGAGCAAGAAGCCCAATGCGGGACTTGATCCCAGATCCCTGGAATCATGACCTGAGCCAAAGGCAGACGCTTAACTGACTGAACCAGCTGGGTGCCCCAAGAGACTCTTAACCATAGGAAACAAACTGAGGGTTGCTGGAGGGGTAAGGGGTGGGGGGATGGGGTAACTGGGTCATGGGCATTAAGGAGGGCACATAATGTAATGAGCACTGGGTGTTATTACAACTGATGAATCACTGAATTCTACCTCTGAAACTAATAATATACTATATGTTAACTACATTGAATTTAAATTTTAAAAAAAGATGATGTTGGTTGGGAAAAAAATAGGCAAAAGTTGTACACCAGAAACTTACATAACATTGTGTGTCAACTTTGTTTCAATAACAAAAACATAATTTAGGCAAAAGATGTAAACAGACATTTATCCAAAAAATATATGAATGACATGAAAAGATGTTCAACATGAGGGTAATGGAAATTAAAACCACAATGAGATACCATTACACACTCACTAAAACGGCTATAACTCAAAGTACTAACAATACCAAGTGTTCACAAGAATATGGAAAAGTAGGACTTCACATATTGCTGGGTGGAATGCAGAAAGGCACACTCACTCTTGGTAAACAGTGTGGCAGTTTCTCACAAAGTTAACCGTATACTCACCATATGACCCAACAATTTCACTCCCAGGTAACCCCCAAGAAAAATTAAAATATATGTCCACACAAACACTTGTACATGAATGTTCATAGCAGTATTATTCATAAGAGTCAAAAATCGGAAGTTACTAAATGTCTATCAACTGGTGAAAAGATAAAGAAAATGCGGTACAATAGAAAGGAACAACAATTGACACGTGCTAACATAAATGAACTTCCAAAGCATTACACCAAACATAAAAGACTATATTCTATTTCTGTATTTCTATAAAATATTCAGAAAAGGTAAATCTGCAGAGACAGCAGATCTATGGTTGCCTAGGGCTGAGCAAGGGAGCAAGGACTAACTACAAACAAGTATGTGATAGAAATGTTCTAAAAACTGGACAAAATCCAGCACTCACTCATGATAAAAATTCTCAGCAAACTAGCAATAGAAGGGAACTTCCTCAACTTGATAAAAAGCATCTACAAAACACTGCAGCTAAAATCATATTTACGTCTATAATGGGGAAGGCTACAAACAAATGGGGGTGGGGGTACATGGGAAATCTCTGTATTTTCCACTCAAATTTTGCTGTGAACCCAATGGAATATTACTCAGCCACACAAAAAAAAAAAAAAACCAAAATCTTGCCATTTGCAATGACATGGATGGAGCTAGAGAGTATTATGCTAAGCGAAATAAGTCAGTCAGAGAAAGACAAATACCATATGATCTCACTCATACATGGAATATAAGAAACAAAACAAAGGTGGGGGGGAAGGTGAGAGAGAGGCAAACCAAGAAACAGACTCAATTCTAGAGAACACATTGATGGTGACTGGAGGGGAGGTGGGCAGGGGGATGGGGAGTCAGACGGGCACTTGTCCTGATGAACACCGGGTGCTGTACGGAAGTGTTGAATCACTATATTGTTCATCTGAAAATAACATTACACTGTATGTAACTAACTGGAATTTAAATAAAAACTAAAAAAAACCCAAGGCCTATTTTTTTTTTAAATCATACTTACTGGTGAGAGATTGCTTTCCCCCAAGGTCAGGAACAAGGCAAGATTGTCTGCAGAAGTTCCAGACAGTGTAATAACGCAAAAGAGACAAAGGCAGAGAGAGTAGAAGGAAGAACTAGAACTGTCCCTATTGGTGGATGACATGATTGTCTATATAAGATCTCAAGGAATCTAAAAAAAATTCCCAGACTTCATAAGTGAGTTCAGCCAGATCACAAGTTACAAGATCAACACACAAAAAGCAATCACATTGCTATATGCTAACAACAAAAAAGTGAAAACTAAAATTTAAAACACAACACCATTTAAAATTGTTCCAAAGAAAACGAAATGCCAGACACCTGGGTGGCTCAGTCAGTTAAGCATCTGCCTTCAGCTCCGGTCATAATCCCAGGGTCCTGGGATCGAGCCCTGCATTGGGCTCCCTGTTCCTTGGGGAGTCTGCTCT